CACCTTCAAAGAGACACATGATGACTACATAGAGACACATGATGACTACATAGAGACACATGATGACTACACAGAGACACATGATGACTACATAGAGACACATGATGACTACATAGAGACACATGATGACTTCAAAGAGACACATGATGACTTCAAAGAGACACATGATGACTACATAGAGACACATGATGACTTCAAAGAGACACATGATGACTTCAAAGAGACACATGATGACTTCAAAGAGACACATGATGACTTCAAAGAGACACATGATGACTTCAAAGAGACACATGATGACTTCAAAGAGACACTTGATGACTACAAAGAGACACATGATGACTTCAAAGAGACACATGATGACTTCAAAGAGACACATGATGACTACATAGAGACACATGATAATTTCCCCGAACCTGTTTTTAACTGCCGACAAATCAACGTGAGTGAATTGATCCAACTTTCTGAGGTTGGTCACGAGGCTCAGGTCCTCCCTCCGGACTCTGATGGTCTCCAGGACCAGGTCTTTCTTGGCTGCATTCAGAGGTTCAGAGGAGTTGAGAAGGGTCCTGGTGAAACCCTCGGCCGTGCACTTCAGGATTCGAGCGACGGAGCCCACGTTGGAGGAGATGTTTGGGATCACGTTGAGGACCAGGATCATGACGGAGGCCGTGAGGAGGAGCTTTCGGCCCTGCCGGGTGCAGACGGTGGGGAGGGAGAGGGTGAGGACGCACCGCAGGGGGGGGATCAGGGAGGACAGCAGGAAGATGGACACGCTGTGGGGAAGAGAGGAGAAAGAGCAGATTCCAACACTCGGAAAGAAAGAAAGTCAGAACTCTAAACATTTTTCTTACTTTTTAACTTCTGAGAAAAAAGTTTTCCCAGATTTCTGACTGTTCTCAATGTTTAGACTTTTTCTCCAAATTATTTTGACCGAATTTAGCGTTTTGAGTCTTCTAGGAATTTTTTTCATTTTCTAAGAATTTTGACCTTTTTCTCAGAATTGTTATTTTACTTATAATTTTATATATTTTCTAAGAATTTTTACTTTTCTAAGAATTTTTTTTATTTGTTTCGAATTGTTTCAGCAGGATGAAGGACACGCTGTGAGGAGAGGAGAAAGAGCAGCTGGAAATAAAGAAGCATTACGAAAGTCAGAATTCAGAACTCCAACAATTGTTTTTACTTCTGATAAAAATGTATTACAGATTTCTGACTTTTCTCAATGTCTAGACTTTTTCTCAGTTTTGACTTTTTTCAGAATTATTACTTTTCATCAGATTTTAGACTTTTTCTTAGAATTTCACATTTTTCCAAATTTTCTCAGAATATTTTTCTTAGATTTTTTACCATTTTTCTCAACATTTCTAATTTTTCTCAAAATATTGACTTTTCTACGAATTTGGACTTTTTTTCAGAAATTTGACTTTTCTTGCAATCTTTTTATATTTTCTATGAATGGTGAATTTTCTAAGATATTTTTATACTTTCTAAGAATTTTGACTTTTTCTCTGAATTATTACCTTTCATCAGATTTTTTATATTTTCTCAGAATTTTGTTTGTTTTCTCTGAATGTTGAGTTTTCTAAGAATTTTTTTTATTTTCTCCGAATTTTATACATTTTTTCAGCAGGAAGAAGGACACGCTGTGAGGAGAGGAGAAAGAGCAGCTGTTGTAAAATGGAAATAAAGAGGCATTAAGAAAGTCAGAATTCAGAACTCCAACAATTTTCTTTTTTTGACTTAATGTTTTCAGATTTTTTCTCTGAATTTTTTTACTCTTTTCTTAGAATTTTTTATATTTTCTCAGAATTTTTACTTTTCTAAGAATTTTTTATATTTTCTCAGACTTTTCACTTTTCTTAGATTTTTTTATATTTTCTAATATTTTTTCTCAGATGCTGGCGGTCAGCAGGCAGGTCTCTGATAGATTAATTCAGACCTGTAGATGCTGGAGGTCAGCAGGCAGGTTTCTGATAGATTAATTCAGACCTGTAGATGCTGGAGGTCAGCACGCAGGTTTCTGATAGATTAATTCAGACCTGTAGATGCTGGAGGTCAGCAGGCAGGTTTCTGATAGATT